TGTGGCAGATTGCGCAAATCCGAATTGTCTTACCAGCTTGTCTTTCTTTACATTTGGCGCCACACCCTGTGGCATACTACGCTAGTCCGCATTGTTCGAAGCTTCATTCAGTGTGCACAGATTTCCTTTCATGTGGTGACGACCACACTATTGAGATTTTATCTTGATAAGACAGCGCTATTTGAGTTTTGTCGCATAGCGATCGGACTCGCGCCGCTGTTCGTTTTGAGAATTTATGTCTTTCTTGCCGGTGCGTGTAGCAGCACCCGTTAAATGCCCCGGGGCAGCCGGATAGCATGCCGACAGGGCCGTTTGCCTGTGTTTGTTTTGAGAGCGCTCTGATTAATGAAGTGAGCTGCGATCAATGATCGTCGCTCGACGGCGCCGCGAAGAAAAAAAGAAAAAAAAATAAATGAAAAATAAAAAAAAGAAAAAAAAAAAAAAATAAAAAAAAAAAAAAAAAAGAAAAAAAATAAAAAAAAAAAAAAAAAAGAAAAAAAAAAAAAAAGCGTCAATCAGGAGGAATAAGAGAAAAAAAGAGAAAAAAGTGTGTTCCCGCTCACATCAACGAAAATAAAAAAGCCCCGTGCACGTCCTGCATCCCCGCTCTATCCCTCACGCCCGCTCGTGCCGCTGCCGTTTTGTTTCGAACTAGGGCCCTTGGCCTTAGAGCTACGCAGATAGATTGAGCAGCGCTCTCTTTCGCCTAAAGATCGTCGCGCCGCGCGCGCCATCCATATCACACTTGGGATCGCGGAGATGGGAGCAGAGCGGAATCAGAGCAGATATGGGATAGAGGATGGCTCTGGGTAAAGCGTGAGGGTTACCCAGGGGAGGGTAGAAAGTACACAAGGTTGCGAGGAGAGTTGAGACAAATATCTCCTTCGAGTCCTGAGGCCCTTCAAGTCTCACAGCCCCAAGCTCTGGGTGCTTCCAGACGCTTTTGGGCCTCGTCGCTAGACTTTTCTTGATGCCAAGGGGCCCCAAGATGGGCCAGCCTCAAGAGGCTCCCAACTGTCCAACAGGGCCCCGAGTCTGCCCGAGAGCGCTCCGAGATGCCCAGGATGGCCCCAAGAGGGCCCCAAGATGCCCCCGAGAAGGCCCCAAGAGGCCTTTCAAACCTAATCGGCAAAACGTCCACCACCATGCCTGCACGGAGTGTGCGAGTTGGAATGCTCTTCTGTTATCTGGTGAGGCGTTTTAGTTTCTAGGACCGACCACCCCCCTCCTCGTGGCGCGCATCCTTCTCAGACTGCCTCCTCTTAAATTTATATCTGGCGTTGTTTCTGCTGCGATACGGCCAAGACAGCATCTAAAACAGCTTCTAAGATAGCCAAGTTGACACCAAGACGGCCCAAGACTAATCAAGAGGCTTCACAGACGGCCGCAATACAGCCAAAATGCCTCGATGACGGCCCAAGAAGGCTCCAAGAGGCCCTACAGGAGAGCCCGATGAGGCAAACAAGCATGTGTTGTGCTTAGGTGGTCAAAAGATTTTGAGGTTCTCGCCTGTTTGGGTTTCCGACCGCCCAGATAGCTCCGCGACAGCCCTTGAACCCCTCAAAATAGGCCCCAGGTCGGCCCAGGAGAACCCAATATCGCCCAGAAGCCTACCAAGAGGGACCAAGGACGGAACTAAAGCGATCCAAGAGGGCATCGAGACGGTCCAGAGAGGCCCCCAAGACGGCCGCCGAAGGCACCAGACGGGCCCAGAGATGGCCCAAGAGGCCTGGAGAGGCTCCCAAGAGGCACTGAGAAGGCGAGACACAGTGATTGTCGTAAAGATGTGCAGTGGTTTAGCGGTTCTCGCCTATCGGGTTTCGGACCGCCCAAGACGGCCCAACCATGAGCCCCCCACAGAAGACCCCAAGTCGGCCTAAGAGGACCCCGAGATCGCCCACAAGCCCCCCAGGGGGGCCCCAAGACAACCCTGAAGCGCCACAAGGGCAAACCGAGACGGTCCAGAGAGACCCCCAAGACGGCCGCCGAAGGCACCAGATGGGCCAAGAGCCCCTAAGATGGCCTAAGAAGCCCCTAAGATCGCCTACCCCTCCCACCCCTCCTTTCTCATTGCACTGACTTTTTGATACATCCGCTGGCGGGTGTCGATGGTGGACATGGAACACTCCGAAGGACCACATCGGATCATGCTCGGCCAGACAAGGGGAGCTGTGTACATTGGAGGAGGAGGTGGCGGGTGAGCAAGAGGACGAGAAGGGGTAGCAAGGATAGCCGAATAAGAAGATGAGCAGGACGAATACCACTTGGTTGTTGTTTTTCCCTGGGCACGGCCACGGCGGCAGACGACAGCAGCGCGGCCTGCTCGCGCAACAGCGCCTTCTCGAAGCGGAGCAGCCGGAGGGCGGACACCTCGGCGGCTGCTGTGCCCTCGCCGCGCAGGAGCGCGGCTCCGAGGGCGCGCTCGTCCTCCTCCAGGCACGTGGCGTATCCCCGCAGGTGCGCCTCGACCAGCTCGGCCACCCGCCCGCGTGCGGCCGCCTCCGCGTGGATGGGCGCCTTCAGGAAGCTCCAGTCCCCGAGGCTGGCCGCCTCTGCCGGCAGCTCGCCCTCGGACAGGAGGCCGGCGCGCACGGCCGCGACGAGGGGGCTGCCCTCGGCCCGGCAGTCCGGCAGCCACCAGGCCTGGAGGCCCTCGTCGCAGCCCTCCTCGGCGCACTGCTCGACCAGCCTCCGCCGCCACTCGGAGTCGCCTTCGCGCACCAGCGCGGCCCGCGGCACGACGAGCTCGGCGGTGCACACCGCGCTGCGGGCGTCGAAGAAGCCGTAGCGCTCGAAGAGGTCCAGGAAGTCCGCGGACGGGTCGTAGCACTGGGTGATCTCGTCGCCTGGGTCGATGGGCTGCACCGCGTCGTATCGCACCGAATCCTCCAGGACCCTCGTCTGCACAGTGGGCACGTTGCTGGAGTGGTTCGCGATATCCCAGCCCGGGCAGAGGGCCATCCCCCACTTGCCGCCCGTGGTCAGCGCCCTCGTGCAGCAGATCAGCTTCGCCCGCAGGTACTGCGAGGGCGCCACGGAGAGCCCGTGGGCTGCCAGTGCCGCGCTCTCCTGCTCCGCCTCCGCGAGCAGACTGCGCGCCCGCCGCCACGCCACGCTGTGAGCAAGCCGCCGTGCGACGTCCCCGTCGCTGGGCCAGCAAGCCATCATGGTGGCGTCGAAGTGTCCAGGCGGACACACGCGCTCGAAATTCGCCGGCCCAACGGGCCAGAGGCGTGCTAAGATCTCCGGTAACTAGTTTGCAATAATTCTAGTTCGCGCGCGCGGGGCGGCCCCTGGGGGTCCCCCGGCGAAAAGTACCCCGACCGAAGCCCGGGAACTATTACTCAGAGATGGTTTCCCTCCTGGGTGCGGCCTTCCACGCCCCCCGGAGCGCGCCTAGAGGGCCAAAAGAGGCCCCCAAGACGGTCCAAGAGGGCTCCGAATCACCGAACGGAACGATCGGCCCAAGACGCCCAACACGGCGTCAAGACGGCCCAAGAGGCCTCCAAGACGTCCCAAGAGAGCCCCGACCCTTCCCAAGAGAATCCCAAGAGGCAAAAATCAATGATTTTCCCTAGGTGTTTGAAGGTTTTTGGCTTCCTCGCCTTTTTCGCCTTTCCGACGCTCCAAGACAGCCCAAGAGGCCCCCAAGACCACCCCAAGACGGCCCAAGAGGCCCCAAGAGAGCCCCAAGACCGCCCAAGAGGGCCCCAAGACAGCCTAAGGCGCCCAAGAGGGCCCCAAGAGGGCGCCAAGAGGGGCCCAAGATGGAGACCACGAACCGAAAATCCGAGCCCTCCGCGTCAAAAGGCCTCCAGGACGCCCCAAGAGGCCCCTAAGAGGCCCCAAGAGGCGCCAAGAGGCCCGAAAGAGACCCCAAAAGGCTCCAAAACGAAGCCCCAATAGGCAAAACTCATGAATTTCCATTAGGTTTCTGAAGGTTTTTGGCTTCCTCGCCTTTTAGCGTTTCCGACACTCCAAGACGGCCCAAGAGGCCCCCAAGAAGCCCCCAAGACCACCCCAAGACGGCCCAAGAGGCCCCCAAGAGAGCCCCAAGACCGCCCAAGAGAGCTTCAAGACAGCCCAAAAGGCGCCCAAGACGGCCCAAGAGGGCCCCAAGAGGAGCCCAAGATGGAGACCACGAACCGAAAATCGGAGCCTTCCGCTCCAAGAGGCATCCAGGACGCCCCAAGAGGCCCCCAAGAGGCCCCAAGAGGCGCCAAGAGGCCCGAAAGAGACCCCAAAACGCTCCAAAACGGAGCCCCAAGATACAAACATCAGTGATTTTCTTAGGTTTTTGAAGGTTTTTGGCTTCCTCGCCTTTTCGCCTTTCCGACGCTCCAAGACGGCCCAAGAGGCCCCCAAGAGCGCCCCAAGACGGCCCAAGAGGCCCCCAAGACGGCCCCAAGACGGCCCAAGAAGGCCCCGAGACGGCCCAAGAGGCACCAAGACGGCCCAAGAGAGCCCCAAGACGGCCCCAAGAGGGGCCCAAGAGAGGGACCACGAACCGAAAACTTGAGCTTTGTGCCCCAAGAGAGTGAGACCGCCCAAGAGGCCTCCGACACGGCCCAAGATGGCCCCAAAGTGAGAACCGGAACGGACAAATCGAGCCCTCGACCCCAAGCGGCGCCCAAAGCCCCAAGATGCTCCCAAATGCTCCCAAAGGAGCTCCAAGGAACCCCAAAGAGGCTCCAACAGAAACCCAAGAGGCCCCCAAGAAACCCCCACCGAGGACCCCCAAAGGCCCCCAAAAGATAAACGACCCCCAAAAAAAAAAAAATAAAAAATAAGAAAAAAAAAAAAAAAAAAAAAAAAACAAAAAACACTAAAAAAAATAATATAAAAAAAGAAAAAATAAAACACATAACAAAAAAAAAAAAAAAAAAAAAAAATAAAAAAGAACAACAAAAAAAAAAGAAGAAAAAAAGTAATAAAAACGCCCCCCAAACGCCAGCGAGGACACAATACGGGCCGGCGGAATGAGCGAAGCGATTAAATAAATGGAGCGCGGGTCCTCTGGCCTCTCTTTCATCAACACTAAGAGCGCGACCAACAACCTCCCGAACAAGTCGTCCGCGGGAATCCTCTCGGATAAGTGGTGGCCTGAGAGATCGCTGGATGTCACGCACAGGTCGAACGGCACTTCGAGCACGACGGCCCCAATTGCTGCCTTCGTCGTGGCGCGTAGCGCCACGTTGCCCTCCGCCGCCTCGAACGCTTCGACTATGCCCTTGCCCACCAGCGCGGCCGACGCTTCCTGCAGGCGGAAAGAATCAGTAACGTTGGTTTCGATGTACTGTGGTGTGGACAGATTGTATTTCGACATGGCACAATGAACTGATGCCACGATCGGGAAAAAGGGTGCCGTCGAAGACCGTGGGCCAAAACTTGAGTCAACATGGCTACGGAGCAGCAGGAAGAGGATGAGGAAGGAGGAGGGCAAGGAGGGGGAGCAGCAGGCGGGGGGAGCCTCAGGAGCAGCGGAAGGCGGAGGAGGGGAAAGGAGCGGAGCGACAGCGACGATGAAGGACTCGGATACAGGATTGTTGCCCGCGCTGGGGCGTGGGCGCCAGTTTCAACGACGGGAGCAGAGCGTCGACCCCAAAATCGAAGCCAACACTGTAGCGGGAACACAATTGTGAAACAGAGGAACAGCTCCGATGGAATACCGTCACAGTGAAGACAACCCTCTGGAATCCTCTAGTTTCCAGAGGTTGCTTACGCCTACGGGGCTCTACTTCTGCTCCAAGGAGTGGGCCCGTCTGCCGCTCTAGCGGCTGTGTTACTGCCAATCGCCGCCTCGTCGCCGCCCGTCGTCTGGGCCCGCCTGCCGCCCTGGCGGCCGTGTTGCCGCCGTCGCCGCCCGGTCGTCACCCGTCGTCTGGACCTGTCTGCCGCTATGGGAGCTGTGTTGCCGCCGTCGCCGCCCCGCGTCTGGGCCTGTCTGCCAGTCTGGCGGCTATGTTACCGCCGTCGCCGCCCCGTCGCCGCTTTGTCGCCGTCCGTCGTGCGGGTTTGCCTGCCAGCCTGGCGGCTATGTTGCAGCCGTTGCCGCCCAATCGCCGATTTGTCGTCGCCTGGATGGCAAAACATAAGTTCTCATTTTCTACAAAGAGAATAGATTATATCCACCCGGCTTTATCGGTACATGTTTTGTGTTGCGTTATAAATGTGATACTGCCCCATCGCCCACCGTAAACATGACTTCGTAACATCCCAGCCCAGCCGGGTTGGACCCCCCCGCCATCCTCTGCAAGCAGTACTATGCGTGCGCACTCGTTTCTCAAACATCATAAGCTTTCAATAATCCCTTGCAACACGCATAACGAAGTGCACACGCGCGCGCCGTCGCGCGCGCATGCCGAAATCTTTCAACAAACGTAGGTTTCGGAGGGATTTCAAAATCGAATGTCAAAAAAACAGTTCAACCTACAAAAACATTGATTCGCAACGCGGCTTTTCAAACAAAGCGTGCGCGCGCGCTCTTGCGTTTTTTGTGGGTTGTCCTGTTGTCTACCGAAGGTCCCAGTGCTACCGTCCGCATGCGTCCCCCCCCACCCACTACAGCGTTTCGTGGCCCCGTGATACCGTCCGCACGCGCCCCCTCCACCCAGCAACGTTTCGTGGCCTCATAGGGAACTCCACCGAAACCCCCAGTGGGACCGCCCGCATGCGTCCCCCCCCCCCACCCACTACAGCGTTTCGTGGCCCCATAGGGAGCCCCACCGAAGGGCCCAATGTTACCGTCCGCATGCGTCCTGAAAACTCAATTTGGCATTTTCACCCACCCACTACAGCGCTTCGTGGCCCCATGAGGAACTCCACCGAAACCCCCAAGTGGGACCGCCAACATGCGTCCCACACACCCAATTTGGCATTTTCACCCATACAATGTAGCGCTTCGTGGCCCCATAGGGAACTCCACCGACCCCCCCTGTGGGACTGCCTGCGTGTGTCCCGCGCACCCACTTTGACATTTTCGCAAGCCCGTTACAACGCTTCGTGGCCCCATAGGGAAATCCACCGACGGCCCCACTTCTACCGCCCGCATGCGCTCCCCCCACCCAGTGCAGCGTTTCGTGGCCCATAGGGAGCTCCACTGAAGCCCCAGTGGGGCCGCCGCATGCGTCTCACACGCCACATTTGGCATTTCACCCACCCACTACAACGCTTCGTGGCTCCATAGGGAGCTCCACCGACGGCCCCAATGCCACCGACCGCATGCGCTACCCCCCACCCAGTACAGCGCTTCGTGGCCGATATATATATATATATATATATATATATATATATATGTATATTAAAGAACAATCGGTTCTTCAACATTTCCAGAACATACTGCCAAACGGGCTTCGCGCGGGCGCATGTCGAAATCGGTCGCGCGCCTTTGTGCGCGAGCCGTCGCGAGAGCCCTGTGCAAAAAACTTGGACGAAGTGCGCGCGCGCGTCGTCGCGCGCGCATGCCGAAATCCATCGGATATCTTCGGTTTCGTAGCGGACTCGAAACCGGATGTCAACAAACACATTCAAAACACATGGTTTCGCAACATCAGTGCTCAAGAAAAGGTTGCGCGCGCGATTATTTTTTTTATTCGCGGAATCCTGCCAAGCGGGCCTCTGGCGCCGCATGCCGTCATCACTCGCGCGCGAGCTGGGGGGCGCGATGCGTGTCTGGTAAAGCCATGCGGGCCGCTTTCGCGCGCCGGCCGCTCGCGCATGTCGCGCGTTTCCCAAAGCCTTCATCACCGACGCGAGGGCGCCGTCATCGTCGTCGGCGCGATCAGCATCGGCGCCCGCGCTGGCCGCGCCTTCGTCGGCGCGAACATCGTCGCCAGCATCGCCACTATTATCATCGCGTCTACCGCAATCGGCGTTGCCATGATACCGCGCCCGCCCAGATCGCCGACTCGCACTGACGCGCCCGTGAGCACGCGCTGAGCGGTCAACGCCGCCGCGGCCGCGTCGGTCGCGCCAAACTAGCTGGCCGCTGCGCGCGCGCGTTTGGGCCGGGGCGGCCGCGCAGATGGACCAGCTAACGTCAGGCACTCATCGCCATCGCCGCCGCATGGGTTGCGCATGCCAAGTTGCGGGTGGGCGGGCGGGATGATCGCGCGAGCAGTGGAGGTGGTCAAGCGCGGCGCAGAGTAGCCCATTCCTTCCAAAAATTCCAGATCCCCCCCCGCCGTCGGCTTCATCGGCTCATGTGTCCATTTTCGTGTCATTCTGCGCCACCTCCCATGCGAAATATGAATGGACACCATCCCAGCCCAGCCGGGTTCGACCCCCCCCCCTGCCTTCCTCTGCACAAAAATACTACGCGCGCGCACTCGTTTATAAAAAAACACAAATTCTCAAGGACCCATTGCAACAACAATGACGAGATACACGCGCGCGCGTCGTCGCGCGCGCATGCCGAAATTCAAGGGCCTTCGGTGTCGCAGTAATTCCATAATCGAGCGCCCAAACAACACAACCCAAACAAAACAAAACACATAGTCTCGCAGCGCGGATGTCCCAGAAAAGAGCGCGCGCTCTTGCGAATTCTTGGGGACCGAAAAACATGGGTTTGTCGACGTTTCCTGAAAATGCGGCCGAACGGGCTTCGCGCGAGCGCATGTCGAAATCGGTCGAACGCCCTTGCGCGCGTGCCGTCGCGAGGATCCATTGCAAAAAAACGGGGCGAACGCCGAACTCCTTCGCGAACCTTCGCCTTCGCAGCAATTTTAAAACTGAATGTCCAAAATAACATTCAAACGCACACGCTTTCGCAACAGCAGTACTCAAAAAAGATTGCGCGCGAGTTCTTGCGAAGTCTTAAGAAACACTGTTTCTCCAAAATGTCCATGGAATTGCGCCGGACGGGCCTCTGGCGCCGCGTGCGAGGTCGCGATGCGCGTCGTAGAGCGCCACGCGAGCCACTCTCGCGAGTCGGCCGCGCGCGCCTGTCGAACTCTCCCCAAAACCTTCACCACCGGCGCAAGGACGCCGTCATCGTCGCGGCGCGATCGGCGATCAGCATCGGTGCGAACATGGTCAACATCATCGCCACTATCATCATCGCGTCTACCGCAATCGGCGTCGCCGTGATACCGCGCCCGCCCAAGTCGCCGGCTCGCAATGAATTGCGAAGTGCCCGCTGGGATGTGCCCAGCGGTCAGCGCCACCGCGGCCGCGTCGGCAGCGCCGAACTGGCTGGCCGCTGCGCGCGCGCTTGGGTTGGCGCGACCGCAGATGCACCAGTCAACGACAAGCAGTCGCCCCCGCGTGGGTTTTGCAAACCAAGTTTCGGGCGGGGCGGGTGGGATATTTGCAAGGGCGTGGGATGTGTCAACCCGTTGGTTAAAACCAAATCTCCTTCCTAGAAAAAAAAACAGACTCTACCCCCCCCACCCCCGGCGTTATCGCCCCACCTTTCGGGTATGTAAATCACATACGATTCTGACCACATGTCCATCTTAAATATGAAATCACAATGTCCCCTGCGAACCGGTATCGCCCCCCCTGAGGTTCCCCAGTAAAAAAGCACTATACGGTGACATGCTTGGTTCTAGTATAACACTTTTTCACGAATCCCTTACAAAAAACAAGACGAAATGCACACGCGCGCGTCGTCGCGCGCGCATGCCGAAATCCTTCAAAAATCTTCGGTGCCGGAAGGATTTCGCAATCGAGTTTTCAAAACACATACAGAAACACAGGAACGCCCTTGCGCGTGTGCCGTCGCGAGAACCCTCTACAACAATGGACCGAAGTGCAGACGCGCGCGTCGTCGCGCGCGTACGCCGAAATCCTTCAAAACCCATCGGCTTCGGAAGGATTTCAAAATCGCGTGTCCAAAAAACCTACAAAAACACAAGGTTTCGCAACACAGATTTTCAACAAAAGCGTGCGCGCGCTCTTGCGGCGTCGTCGTCGTCGTCGTCGCCGTCGTCCCTCCTCCCGCGTCGTCGTCGTCGTCGTCGCCTACGTCGTCCTGTGTCTTTCCTCGTGTTCGTCGTCGTCGTCCTTTTTGGCGTCGTGGTCGTTTCCGTCGTCGTTGTCGCCGTGGTCGTCCTTCCTCCTCCTCCCTCGTTGTCGTCGTCGTCGTCGTCGTCCGTCGTCGGCGTCTCGTCGTCGTCCCTCCTATTTCGTCGCCGTCGTCGTCGTCGTCGTTGTCGTCGTCGTCTCGTCGTCGTATTCCCTCCTCCCTCGTCGTCGTCGTCGTCGTCCGTCGTCGGCGTCTCGTCGTCGTCCCTCCTATGTCGTCGCCGTCGTCGTCGTCGTCGTCGTCGTCGTCTTTGTCTCGTCGTCGTCATCCCTCATCCCTCGGCGTTGTCTTCGTCGTTCGCGTCGTCGC